GTGGAGATCTCCTTTGAAGGCGACAAGCTCGTGATGCAGCAGCGCCGGTGGGTTCTGCAGGAACTGAACCGGAGGGGATGGATCCATGTTAAGGGGTCTCAATCGCTACCTCAGCTGGAGATGGGAGCGGATGAGGAAGTGAATGAACTCCACGCGAAGAACTTGGCCAAGGCACGGTCAGAGATCGGGGCATTGATGTGGATTGGGATACGAAGTCGGCCAGATCTTTTGGCAGCAGTGTCAATTGGAGCTAGCGTTATGCATCGACGACCGGCGGAGATCTGTAAGTTTTGCATGGGTTTGTGGCGTTACGTGCGGGGAACCCTTGATGAATGCTTGCAGTATGGCCCAGATGGAGATCCGGCAGAGATGACGTTTCTGTCGGATGCATCCTTTGCACCAGAGGGCTCACGAAGCCGCTCAGGGGGAGTCATTTGCTACGCTGGCAGCGTGATCCATTGGCTTTCGAATCGTCAAACTGTTACTGCTTGGTCTGTGTGTGAAGCAGAGACTGATGCACTAGCTGAAACATTGTCCCAGGGCATTCGCATCGTACATGTGCTACAGGATCTCTTGCATAAGCCGTTGAGGAAGGTCTTGACAGGCGACAACAGCGCTTCGATCATCCTCGCAACGCAAGAACGCATGCATTTCGGGAAGTGGAGAACCAGGGCATTTGCTCTGCGATGCAGTTGGGTGAGAGATCAAGTAAAGCTTGAAGGGGTGCACATGATGCATACGCCAGGCGAACATCTCTTGGCGGATATGCTCACGAAGGTTCTTCCCAAATCGCGAAACCAACAGTTGAGACAGCTTGCGGGCATTTTGCCCACGCCAAAGCTTGAAGTATGAGCCAGCGGAGGGTTGGACATGATTTTGATTTTGTTTCAACACTGCGATACTACTTGTGTGCAGCCATCTGTTTTCCTGGAGTGGGACCGAAGGAATAGTCCAGTCCACTTGTAATATCTCCGGGTGCAGGGACATGCTTGGGCTTGTGCGACTTTTGTAGATTCTCTTCGGCAAGTCGAGGAGGAGTGTGCGCATGACCCCTGCTCAGGA